TGGAAAGCTCTATAGCCCCGCCAGGCAGTCATTGTAACGCCTCCCATGTCTCCGCTTGTAGTGGAAACGCAGCTGGGCTCGCGCGAGGTGTCATCGTCGTTCGCCGGTGAATACAACTGCCTGACGCTTGCTGGTTTGTGCGAGGCTGTCGTCCTGTGAGAGCTTAGATGGGGCCGTGCCCTCGGGTTGTCAGCCTGAGTATCGACACCGCTTTCGAAGTCGTCGTTATTGTCGTTGTCATTGCCTCATTTTCTGGGAAGCGATACTTCTGGCAGGGTCGGCCAGGCAGGGGACTCTGCTCGCAGGGACTTGGCTGGCCGCGGTTGTGATTGTGCCGCCGGTATGAGCCTTTGAACATGTGCCTTTGGACATCTAGTAGCGGCTCTATCCTATGGCTGAATAATGGTGAACTCAAGTGAGTGGTTGGCGGATGATTGGTACTGTAGGACAAAATTACCAGCTGTCGCAAAGAGAAGTTCGGGGAGAAGGCTGGGTACAGAAAACGCGGGGTGTCGCTCCTAGACCCTTCCGCTCATCATGGGTGCCTGGATTCCCGTTACCGTACCTGCGGCCGATTCTGGCTTCACAACAGTGCAGCAAGTCCTCGTCTTGGGCGATTGACAGCATCCTAGCTTCTGGCTGCTTGGTAGTACTGAGCTGTAAGGACTGCAACCCCTTCTTGGTAAGCAAAATCGACTTCACTGCAGCCAGAAAGTGAGCTGGCGCCGAGCACCAGGCAGCAGCGGAAGGGTCTAGGAGCGACACCCCGAGTTTCCTCGACCAACCCGTTCCCCCCACTCGCCTCTACAACAGTTGGTGATCTAGTCATGCCAGTCCTCCGCCAACCTCTTGACTTCACCATCACTCTACCACGGCGTTGCAACAATTCTCCGCTCATAGATCAGCGTCCCGGTATAACATGGAAATATGTTCTGACGAAGATGGCGCATGGTATGACCAGTGCGTCTTTCTCCCGCCAATCCATCCGAGACTGGCCATGGACGAGCCGGTCCGCTTGGTTGGCAGTCACACCTCGACAAGATCTCTGGCCGTGTTCGCGGCCGCCCCTTAGTCTTTGGAGAACCCGCAGGTGGAAGTGGATCGTGATACTGTTGATGAGCGCTGCGGCAGTCCCTGATGTCGCCGTGATCAGCAGGCGATTCGAAAGGCTCCTCCTACTGAACAACTCGACGAATGCCTCGATGATTCGCGACTTGCCAGTCCTGCCCTCGCCACCGACGAACTGGCAGAGTTGGCCGACTTCGCCTCCGTCGTTTTGTCGCATCAAATCGAGCTGGCAGCATATGATTGGGAAAGCGATCGACTGCGTTTTGTTCAGCGTCGGCCGTGTTGCCAACTCTCTGCCCGCCAAGCCTGCATTCCCGCCTCTACGTCGTCTGCGGTCTCGTCGAAGTCGGCCATCGCCATTTCGACATCGACCTCCTCGAAGCCAGCTAAGCCGACCATGACCCTCCGCAACGCAGCACGGCAGTCGCTTTCTCGGACCACGGTTATACTTTGTATGCCTTGGATCATCCTCTCCTCTCTTTTGAGGCACTCATCTGCTGCGACTTGGTGGCCCTGACCTGATCCTACGGTGGCAGTGCGACCCCGGAAAATACCCGCCCCTACATGCTTATCCGTCTCGCCCCTTGTTCGGGTACTGTACCACGGCGGCCTGCAGCTCGGCCGTCGAGGAAAGCGCTGCTGTTGCATCATCGCCATTGCTCCGGCGACGTGGCCGTCACCTGATTCGAGTCCAGTGCACCTCGGACGACGTCGATCAGCTGCGTTGCGTTTCCGATGCTGTTTGGACTGATACGTCGCTGTTGATTCTGCGCCCGCCTCGTCCGTCCCGCCCTTCCACGTGTGCGACCGTCGGATAGGCATCTCCGGATGAGGATGCCCATTGCTTAGCGTCGCGTTTTGCGTCTTCGGCTGATCGTCGAACCAGCCGCACGATATCGGCACGATGTCGTCGAGACATGATATTCTCGGAGCCAGCGCCTCTAGCGCCCGCGCCCAGATGCTGTTGATGTCGCCCATTTCTTCGCACATGAAAGACTCCCATGGTACAAATAGCACAAAGTGCTGCACGGTTGCCCTTTCAAAGGTGGAAAAATTAGCGTCTCCCATATCCTCCGGCGAATCGGTTTCGCGCAAACCTCCGATGACACGAGTCCTCGTCGTGGGCAAAGTCTTGCTCAGGTAGCCGTCAAGGCAAACGGTGGCCTGCTTTCCCGGCCGCCTGAGCACCTGAACCCAGCGTCTTCCTGGTGCCAGCCCATCATCGAAAGGCACCTCCCCCCTAGCCCCACAGCTCCCGTTGTTGCTGTTGCGTTTGAGTCTGACCAGCGATACGTAGTCGTACAGGCATAGGCCTCCCAGAAGATCTCCACGGTGCTGATATGCCTTGACGCGGGAGATCCTGGGGCCTGCTTCTTCGACGACGACCGACTCATCCAGGGGATCATCTGTGACCCATGCGCTACTTGTCGCAGATGCCGCAATCGTCGAAAGACGTGCCAGTACAGCTAGTACCGGTATGTGTTTAGGTACGCCTAGGCGCTGCCATTGGAAAATTCGGCTGGATATCCTAGAAGATGAGCGACGACCTCGACCTGCGACAGGGGACGCTCCGTGAACATACGGTTCGTCACCCTCATCAAGAACTGTATGGTCCGATCCGTGCTCCATGGGGTGTATATTGCATGTCACCATCTCGTCTGCCGGTTCGGTTCGGCCGACGCAAGCACTAGATCAATCGTGCTTTCCGGGTCTTGGCCCTGCCACGTCTTGGTGCCTCGCGGCAGGCTGCAGAGCCCACAGTCATTCATCAGGTCGATGATCGGCTGCGCTTCCCCTTGTTTTCTTGTTGCTACCTCATCGCCTCCCCAGAGCAGATCGTGGCGATTAAAGTCCCCCGCGACGACGTCCAGTTCCACCACGGAAGCCCACCACTAATCCATGCAGTTCTCTTACCGCTCTCGATAGCACCTCGCTCTTCTACTCTACGTATACCGACACTACCATCAGATCTCGGTCCGGTAGCCGAAGGATTACCGCCGTCAAATCCGCTGACTGCGTTACCGCTTGCTCCGCCTCGAGGTCACTCCGCACCCAGAGCATGCTCCGGATCGGCCAGCCGGTCTCGTGTATCGTCGTCAGTATCATTGTCACCCAACTGCTGTGGCTTATTGAGCTCGTAATTACCCTGTCGTTTATCCTCCTTGCGTACGGAATCCTGCGCGGCACCATGAACGGCAGTATGAGCGACAGTAACGGCAGTATGAGCGACAGTAACGGCAGTATGAGCGACAGTATGAGCGACTCTACCGCCGGTGACGGCATCTTGTGCTCGATGTCGGACCAAAAGGGGATAAATATCATCAGTAAAGACGGCGGTATAGTGCTGGAGATCTTAACATTAGATCTCAACTACCGTGGCTTCAAGGTCACGCGTCATTTTCACTGGGTCTAACCAGACAGAGAAATATGGTTTTGGATGCTATACGCCAAGCTAGACCTACGAGGGAGCACGAGCCGACAACTCCACAGGCTAAAAATCTCGAAGCTAGTAGCCTCGAGAAGACTTTGAGAAAGATATCTAGAGTGTTTGAGCGCAAGGAGCAGAGTTGGTGTTGAAGGATCAGAGATTTCAGGCCTCGGCGGCTACGCTGCATCGCATGAGGCCAAGGAAGGAAAGAATGATCCCCAATCCTAATACTATGTTCATAAACCTCCGATATATATTAGGGAATGTCTATATGCTTCCACAGGGCGATGAAGAGGTGCTATATGCGATTGAAGGTGCATTTGGTCAGGTTGAAGAGGAGGAGGGGAAGGGGAGGGTAAAGCCACCTGATTCGTCGCCTTCTTACACATGGGCGGAGACAGACCAGAAACCCAACAGTCCACGGCAATTAAACATTGAAAGCACTACAGAGTAGTATTTCTTTTATAATTTATTATGGGCTAAGAGCTTCAATTCAATTGATATAGTTTGTATGGTAACAGGCGATGGGTGGGGCATGGTAGGCCCGGTCGCCCTCGCTAAGCAGGCGCCGAGGGTGGGTCCGAGTACTCTTCGGCTACACGAAGAATATATATCGAGCACGAATCTGTCATTGGGAAGATGCCACGTGATCACGGCGTAACAGTCACATCCACAGTCGACGAGAGTGCGTATTCAGTAGCCTCTGTTGACGGGTCGACCGTTCATTGGTGGCTTGAACGCTTCCTAGTCGACCATGCCGGTCACAGCCCGTGACAGATGGCCAGCTTAGGATGGTAGCTTAATACTACAAAGGAACCCCAAACGAGCGGCAACACTCTGGGCACAGGGAGCAAGACGTATCAGCAGATTGAACAACTGGACGCACGTATACAGGCACGCCGCCATGAACAGCAACACTGCATGCCTGCCTAACCAACAACCGCCTGTCAAGAAGAGATAGTCCCTTGCGTGGTCCAAATCGACAATGATGCGGCTGGCCACGGCCTGCCCCCATAACCTCGTCCGCAAAAGTCAGTTTACTTTCCCGAATAAGATCCAGGAGATTTGGGTGTATCAGAAGACTTGGGCGATAGCATGAAGCCTCGCCCGTACCTTGCCCCAAATTGGGACCTGGCCTCTGTTTTGGCACCGACATCAGGTCCAGGATATGCATTGTCTTGCGATTGAGATTCCTCCTCCTTGGGCCTTTGGATATTAAGTGTGATCATGTCCCGTGATATCTGCCGGACCGTTTCATCACGAAGGTGACCCCCTACTTGCCTGCTCCTCCATCCAAGTCCCTTGTTTTGTCCGTGAATCGTCTTTCCGTCAGTCGAAACCATGAACTGCATGGCGTCGCCTGTAGCGTAGTTGTCAATAACGCTAATGTTTTCCTTTAAGCGCTTGTTTGCTTCAGAACAAATGCTCAAGCTTTGGCGCGCGTTTTCCCATTCTTCACGCAGCCTCGCAATCTCGGAAGTATCCTCAGAAGCAGGCACTTTCTTTATTTTCCCATCAAGCGATCGAACAAATCCTTCTCGTGTTGTCCCAGTTTCACGACTGTGTTGTCAAGGGTCTTCCTGCACCCATTCAGACCCTCATTGACGACCTTTTCGGGGAACGTAGCTGGCTCTTCATTTTCGGACGAGCTTCCACTGCGTTTGGTGGCCAGCTGAAATTCATCGATATGCTTCGACAGTTGGTCACAAATTTCAAGGCATCGCTGCGTGCTCAATCGCTCTTCCTGCATGGTTTGCAATTCTGGCGCGCCTGAGCCGGTCTCCGATATGGCGTCTGCGAGAAAGACACCTATTTTCTCGTCGATACTTTCGAGGTGAGCCCGGAGGTCACTGTGCGCTGTCTCGACAAGGTCTTTGTAGCTTCGAATGGTCTCGGCGGTGGCAGAGCATACGCGGCTACATTCACAGCATAAGCATTAGAGTTGTTACTGAATGGTTTATTTTATGGAGGGTGGTGGCTTGCAGACCGTGAAACGTACAGATTGGCGTCAGTGAGGGCAATAGTGATTGTCGACTTGTAGCCGGATAACAACCGCCTAAATCCGTCGATATCATCACCCATGTACTTGAGTTTAGCCCACCCCCGAAAGGTCGTCTGAGTCCCCCCGGACTGCGACACGCATTTCATGAGTTCCTGATTGAACTCTGCACAGGCATGGCCGCATCGCAGCAACGGTCGATCGAGCGCTGAGAGGTCGACAGTATGGACGGCACTGACCGTCTCCGTAAGTGGGCCTAAGACTCCGCTCAAAGCTTCAAGCTCGTCAATGAGATCGCGCACACGTTTGGGATGGTCTCGAAAACTCTGGACAGTGCTGTAAAGCGTAATGCTGGATTGAAGGCGAACGTAGCCAGGGCCAATAGCCCGGAAGCCAGTCTACCGGCTCGGCCATCGCGGTGGACGGCCTCAGGCATGAAGAGCGTGTAGGAAGATCTCAGGAAGGTGTAACAAATAGTTGTGGGGTGATCGCTCGTTTTATGATCTGCGAGGCGGTGCCTAGAGCTTCTTTGCCATACTTGATTGGTTCATCTCAGCCGAATGCCCCACGTGACCTGGCAGGTGACCTACTCCGCCCTTCCTGCTCGCGTTCCAACAACATGCTATATTACCGAGATTCTGCCTTTACGACAATAAGCGGGAACGCCAGTGCGCCAATCAGTGGAGTTCGTGCGCCAGGGGGGTACCATGATTTGCCGCTTCTTGACTGGCTCAGCACAGAACAAGGCGAATACGTGCAAAAAACAATTCTTTGACTTTCTGGCCAAATTTTCGAAACGGCCACTGAAATCCGAAACACCCATACCATGAAAATCGCCTCGACCGCCGTCCCCTGCCTACGGAAGTGCAGCCGCGCGCACGTTGTTGCGGGTGCGCTACGTGGCTGCAAAGATGGCGAGAACAGGCGGAAAATTCGCTCTGCTTGCGCTTATTAGCGTCATGCGCCAACCCGACGTGACTTAATTCAGGGCTGCAGATATAATCGTAGGCTTTAACCGTGCCGTACCTTCCTCTCTCCACATTCTGCTCCACTTTCTTTCGTCCCATGCAGAAACCTGATTCCCCCCCCCTATAAGTGCAAAATATGGTCAAGGACGAGGAAGGCAGCGGCAACAAAGAGTGAACCCCGTGCCGCTTTGGTTATTCATGACTCGTGATTGGTGAGCACTATCGTTGTGTTGTTGGTCTGCTGTGCTGCTAATGCATCATCGCAGTTCGTTGTTGGGCTCCACTTTAACCTACTAGGATGCACCAGCGTACCACAGAGCGTAAGGAACGTCATCTGGACTACTCGGGGTTCCCTGCTAGTCAACCCCGAGTATGGAGGCTTCGTGCGATCGATAAGAGCTAGCGTAGGATTTTGAGAGTGACAGGTCAGTCTGCAGGTCCAGGCAGCATCCAAAACACATTGTCTGTAGATTAGTTGGTTCCCATCGACTGGAGTAACCCTACATACATTCGATGTGTAACACGTGAATGCGGCTCGCTGTGCGACTGCGGCAAAGTCGCCTCCTTTCCTCGCTCCACCTCTTATTGCGAAGCGGCAGTTGGGGCAGTATTACTCGTCCTCGCTTATCGATATGGAAGCCAAATAGCTCACGACTGTCGCCCGGTTCTAGTTCAAAATACGACATGCTCCCATGTAGACGCAGTCTTCGCCGAACAGGGAACCATGCGCCTCGTGTATGCGTATGACTCGTTACAGTACTAGTTACAGGGCTACAACAAACCCAAGAACCAACAACCGACCTCTAAGGCCAATCGGAGGTGTCCCGCCCCTGTAGGGCATTCACTGCCCACCTAACTATCATCCTTCAGCACGAGCGTGCATCATGAAAAGGATGTGGGGCCTGGCTGCAGCGCAATGTCTTGCAGAACAAGTGCTATTGGAAGTGGAAGCACAATGTGGCTGCAGCGTGGCAGCTCGCAGAGCGATGACATCAAAGTTGTTACGAGCCCAATAAGCCACAGCGACGAGGTGAAAATGTTACCGCCGACGACGCACGAGACAGGCTGGCCGATCCGGAGCATGCTCTGGATGCGATGTGACCTTCAGGCGGAGCAGGTGGCAACGCATTCAGCGGATTTGACGGCGCCACTCCTGCGGCTGCCGGATCGAGACCTGATGGCAGTATCGGTGTACGCAGTGGGGAAGAGTGGGGGAGGCAATGTAGATATGATCGTATCGAGGTACTATGAAGTACAACAGGAGAGAGGAGGAGGAAGGAAGGGAAGCTGGGCGACGCGGGGTCTCGGAGTCGTTGGTGATAAAGTGACCGGGAGCCAGAATCTACATTGCCAGACAGCGTCCGCTTCGAGATGCATTTCAGCAGCTCTACTTTTGGGTACATGTACATAATCACCCATAGTTCGTGTTGCTCCTAATACTGCAGTTGGTTCTCAATGCGAGGTGGTGACCGCAAGGTGGATGTGCGTTGCTGCAAGTGGGTGCTTCTGACTGTCCCCGGCACGGGTGGTGTGAGTCATTTGGACGGCATTGCAGCTGCAGATCGTAGCCCCGTCACATCCTCTCCCTGTGCATTAGCGGATGTTTGCCTGCATCGAACTGCAGCCACCATTGCGATGGATGCCAGTCTTTCTGCATGAACCCCGGTATGTACATACAGTACAGTACGAGCCTTTTAACGTGTCAAATTACCAGCTGTCGCACAAGAGAAGTTCGGGGGAGAAGGTTGGGCACAAAAACGCGGGGTGTCGCTCCTAGACCCTTCGCCCATGGTGCCTGGGTTCCCGTTACGTACCTGCGGCCGATTCTGGCTTCACAACAGTCCTGCAAGTCCTCGTCTTGGGCGACTGACAGCACCTTCACTTCTCGCTGCTTGGTAGTACTGAGCTGTAAGGACTGCAACCCCTTCTTAATAAGCAATATCGTCTTCACTGCAGCCAGAAAGTGAGCTGGCGCCGAGTAGTATTGCTGCCCCCAACCAGGCAGCAGCGGAAGGGTCTAGGAGCGACACCCCGAGTCTCCTCGCTCAACCCGTTCCCCCGCAACTTGTCTCTACAACAGTTGGTAATCTGGTCATGCCAGCCCTCCACGAACGTCTTGACTTCACCATCACTCTACCGCGGGGTTGCAACGTTTCCCCGCTCACAGACCAGCGCACCGGTATGACATGGAAACACGTTCTGACGAAGATAGCGCATGGTATAACCAGCGCGTCTTTCTTCTGCCAATTCATCCGAAACTGGCCATGGACGAACCGATCCGCTTGCTTGGCAGTCGCACCTCGTCGGGATCTCTCGCCGTGTTCGCGGCCGCCCCTTGGTCTTTGGAGAACCCGCATGTGGGGTGGATCGTGATACTGTTGATCCGGACTGCGGCAATCCCTGACGTCGCCATGATCAGCGGCGATTCGAAAGGCTCCTCCTACTGAACAACTCGACGAGTGCCTCGATGATTCGCGACTTGCCGGTCCCGCCCTCGCCGCCGATGAACTGGCAGAGCTGGCCGACGTCGCCTCCGTCGTTTTGTCGTATCAAATCGAGCTGGCGGCATATGATTGAGAAAGCGATAGACTGCGTTTTGTTCAGCGTCAGCCGTGTCGCCAACTCTCTGCCCGCCGCTGAGAAAGAGGTTCCCGCCATTGTTGTTGCATTCGAGCCTGACGAGCGATACATAGTCGTACAGGCATAGGCCTCGCAGGCGCTCTCCACGGTGCTGATACGCCTCGACGTGGGAGATCCTGGGGCCTGCTTCTTCGACGACAACCGACTCACACAGGGATCATCTGTGACCCCTACGCCACTTTCCTGTCGAAAGACGTGCCAGTACAACAGGTATGTGTTTAGGTACGCCCAGGCGCTGCTGTTGGTAAATTCGGCTGGAGATCCTAGAAGAGCGACGACCTCGGCCTGCAACAGGGACGCTCCGTCAACACACGGTTCGCCACCCTCGTCAAAAACTATATGGTCTGATCCGTGCTCCATGGGGTGTATGTTGCATATCACCATCTCGTCTGCCAGTTCGGCCAACGCAAGCACTAGATCAAGCGTGCTTTCCGAGTCTCGGCCCTGCCACGTTTTGGTGCCTCGCGGTAGCAGGCTGCAGAGCCCACAGTCATTAATCAGGTCGATGATCGACTGCGCTTCCCCTTCTCTTCTCGCCGTTACCTCGTCGCCTCCCCAGAGTAGATCGTGGCGATTAAAGTCACCAGCGACGACGAAGTCTGCTCGCCGTCCAGTTCACCGCGGAAGCCCGCCACTAATCCATGCATCTCTCTTACCGCTCTCGACAGCGCCTCCTCGCTCTTCCCCTCTACGTACACCGACGATACCATTAGATATCAGTCTGGTAGCCGAAGGATTGCCGCTGTCAAATCCGCTGACTGCGTTGCCGCTTGCTCCGCCTCGAGGTCACTCCGACCCAGAGCATGGTCCTGATCGGTATCATTCTCACCAGCTGCTGTGGCTTATTGGGCTCGTAATTATCCTGCTGTTTTATCCTCCTCGCTTACGGTTCAGAGATGGCCAATGCACGGTAGCCCTTGAGATCTTCGTCGTTCATCAGGCTCAGCTGCACCGCGTGTTGCTTTCTAATGTTAAGCCGCAGCATGCGAAAGCTCGTGCACTGTTACGTGATGACCGTTTCGGCCAATTCGGGCTGAATGAGGAAGGCAAATCATCCAGGCTTTTTGAGATCTAGTGGCAAATGTCGTCTAAATCTGACCCACGAGAAGGCAATTATCGGCCAGATTTGAGATGTCTGCCTAGAAAACCGGCAGGAGACTAGGTAATACCGCGCCGTGCACCCTGCTGCTCAAAAGCGATCGCATCCTCCACAGCTTTCCCCGCCAAAAATTTGTACTCTTCATCTAGTCTCTCCGTCGCGACAATAACTGCATTCTCCTTGTTTTGTAGCTCCGTTCTCTGGGCTGCTATTTCCCGAAGAGCTTCTTTTGACCTTGACCGCAAAACGTGCTTGTTACGCTCCAGTTCCTTCATAGTCGCTTGCGTCTTCTGTCGGAGCATAGCAATCTCCATACTGCGCCCGAAATCTCTTAAGAGCGTTGCCAATGCCTCAGCATCCAGCAAGAACTTTTCCATGCCCTTCGTGTTAACTTGACGCCGATGAACAGCGCTATGCCGAATGTTGGCAACAGAGCGGAAGA